TACGTTTTTTGGGGTATGTAGCCTAGGCCTTTGGCCGTAGGGAATAATGTCACTGAGAGCCGCCTAACGTCCCAGGGGCAACTCCCATGTATAGTCGCACCGGTAGTGACGTCATGGCTGTCGCCGGCCAACGTGTTGTTGGTGTTTTTTCAATGTATGCTTCAGACACGGGTCACGACGAGGCGTTCCCCATAGCGACCCCTAGAGGACGCAGTGTCTCGTTCCCTACTCAGGGAACCATGGTTACATAAGTAACCTGAGACGTTTTGTCAGATCAAAACATTAAAATGATACTAACAGGATGGAAAGTGAAGACAGAAAAGAAAATCTAAATGACTGGTCTATTAAAGCAATATTCACAAAAAACAAAAAATCTTTTAATTTGCGAAAGAAAAATATAAAAGTACACCCATCCTGTAAAACAGGATTCTCACCTGTCCAGAGGGGGGCGTCCGGAGGCGTGTCAATGATTAGCCTGCAAACAGACTGTATTATGACACTTGCACATAATAAACGATCGTTAAAACAACAGCCATCTAGTCTGATTTGAGCAATCAAGAATTAGGTGAGGAACCTGGACGTTGCTCAACAAAACTTTATCTGTTTAGTCCGCAACTTGTTCCTCCGTCACCTTTGACCGCTCGCCGCCTAGATTCGCTAGCCTTTGTCCTGCTGCCCACTGTGCCCAGTGAAATCCAGAGAGTGCTGCTGAAGCCCTCAGATGTCGTTGTTCTTGCGCGGATTACAGAGAGGCAGATGGACAGCGGGTCGTGGCATTCACAAATCCGCCCTCCCCCGTGCTTTTGTCGGGAATAAGAGTGGATTTATCAAAGGACTCCCTCAAGCCAATATGCCTTCTCATTCTTCATGCACGTTGCAGTCGCAACAACGACTTATTAATCATAAATAGCCTATAGACCAAATCAGAGTAGACGTCACAGTTACGTCACTTGCAGCTGCGCGCGCATAGTGGTTGCAGAAAAACACTGGGAACAAGTGGAGATAAATGGGTCAAATCCATGGAATAAAAGAAAAAAAAATTGTTGTGCCTTTTGATGTCAAGATCGGAATGCTAATAATTTTTATAGAATACTGTCGTCAAAGACGCCATTTGAAGCTAAACGCAGACGGTTAAATGGACATACTATGGATGAAAACTCTACTTTTAAAGCATAAATTCGATTTAAACAATAGGTCTACATAATATTCACATATGCTGTTCATAGGGGACGTATTGTATTAGCCCTACAGTTACAGCATGAAATATTATTTAAACCTTACTATTAACATTTTTACATAACATTTATTTATTTTATCTCACAATTCTGACTTTTTTTTCTCGCAAATGCAAGTTTATATCTCCTAATTCAGACTTTATAACTCGAGTCGACTTAGAAATTGTGAGTTTGTCAAATCTGAGGGGAAAAAGCCAGAAGAGCCGAGGGGAAAAGAGAGAATGACGAGTTGTTTTTCCTTATTAGAATTGTGAGATATAATCTCGGAATTGCGAGAATAAAGTCAGAATTTTGAAATAATAAAATCAAATTTACCTTTTTTTATTCTTTTATTCCATGGCTCCGTAGACTGCCACTTGAAAACCGACATTTTCTGCCTTCAGATAGGCTCCGCCCACAAAAAACGTCATCCCTGTTTCGGATCTGTGAGACTATCCCACTTTCTAACGTAAATTTCGTTGAATAACAGTGCTTATCGCTGGGTGACAAGCTCTTGTAATGCGGAGAACATTTTGAAAATTACATCTAATCAATATAATTTATCATCTTTTTAAACCTAACTATTTTGTACCCTATCCGTGAAATTTTCTGGCCATAAAGGCTATCTCTCCCGGGTTTTCTGCAACCATGATGCGCGCGCATCCTGAATGTTTACAACCCTATAATTGGTCTATAGAAATAGGCCTATATATGAAAGCTCGTGCCATATCACTAACTGGGACAGGTTTTATATTTTAATTTAATTAGAATAAATAGAAACGTTACATTTAACAAGAAATGTGGAAAATCTTTGATATAGGCCTAATCATTATCATTACTGACTGAGTTTGGCGATATTGATCGGGTAGACGAGAATCGGTTCTTCTATTTTACCAGTGTAATCTGATTACCGAACTAAATATTTTATTTACAGTGAATCAATGGTATTTTGTAAGAAATTAATGAATGAATGATATGCAACCACTTTTTTGTTTGTTTAATATTGCTATAGGCCTACAATAGACTAGGCTAGTTATGAACACTTTAATTACATGCATGTATTAATTTCTGTATTTCTGATTTGTTGTAGTTGTTGAAATCTGAAATGATCTTCATTTGACTGATTGCTGAGGGCAATACATGCAATAGCCTAATCTGTCTTTTTCAAAGTATTTCTGCCTCAAAGTACTGAAATAATCATTACTGAAACTAGAATTGTTAAATGGAATTTGAATCGGAATCAGAAACGTTAAATTCCTTACGATTCCTTTGAACTCAAGAGGCTTTACCTGTTAATGTGACGTAGACCACGGGGCGGGGCACGCAGGACTTGACTGAAGCCTCTGTTGCCTATTAGAGATTATAGAGGCGGCTGGAAAGCGAATTCACGCTTTTGGTTTTCTTTCTTAGGCTGCTAGATTTAGCTTTCTTTTGTGTATGTTTTTGAAATCTCACACTGGACATATTCAGATATCATTTAGCCTACTCGGACAGGAATATCGGATGGTCATACGGGACAATTGAATTAGTTTTCAGCACGGGCTGGTGGATTTGAACGCCAGGCTACAAGCGCTTCTTCTTAAGATTCTGACAGCGAATGTAGCCTATTACACATTGGATTCAACTTCAGGAAAGTTTAACATTTTCTCGGAAGCAAGCAGATTTTGTTTCTACCTATATTGTGGGATGCGCTCGAATTGTGCTGGAGAATATTTCGAGACTCAAAGAAATACAACATCGTGGACGTTTTGAATTTCTGTTCTGTTGTCAAATACAAGAATATGCTGACTTTAAATTAATTTAGCAAAAATAAGCATCTATATTTCATATCTTACCTATTTAATCCCCTTAAAATCTGCGAAGCCAAATCTACAACATTTTTTGCTATAATGTCCTGGAGCTGAGACTGGACATAAAGGACTGTCTCCGAACGTGTAGAAGAGCGGTTCGGGTTGTCGGAACATGAAGTCAGTTACCGGTCTGTTTGTTGTAAGTGTGTTGCTGTGTTCAACGATCTCGTCCTGGAGCGCGACTGTCAACAGCTATGGAGGTGAGTTTGGTTCAACTGATGAAGGAAAAAAAAAAAAGCTATCAGAATGACATCTTTCAGTGAAATGTTTGAAACACAAAGTAGCATTACTCAAAGAACATTACTCAGTTTTTTTTTTTTTTGACACTTTTGTGTGAACTTTTGCATTTTTCGAAACAATGAAAAGTCTATTAACGTAATAGGCGGAATCAGGTGACAACCTGTGCGCTCACACTTTCTAATCTCCATAGGATTAAAACAAATGACAGGTATAGTTTGGTTCGTGGAAGTTGTCGATTATTTATATTGTTTTTGTTTGGTGTTTTATGTAATCGTAAGCTTTATAAATCTTTAGTGTTTCTACTTTTCCTTCGACGAGTCCGTATGATAGATAGATAGATAGATAGATAGATACTTCACTGATACCGTGTGCAGACAGACAATAATAACACTATACAGTATGCAGAAGTGTCACATGTAGCTTTGGGATGAGCATGTGTAGGCTACATTATAAACAAGATACGCAATTTACTCAATGAACACATTATGCTAGCCTATTACAGCAAATAATACATATACCAATATGTGGCAAGTAAACGTTTAATAAAATGTTGTAAATGCCTAATTTCAAATGAGAAGTACATTAGTATATAGATTTTTGTGTATGTGTGTGTGAGACAACATTCCTGGGGGCAGTCTTGTTTCCTCCAACTTTGTTTTTCTGGATTTGTAAATGTGAATGATGTGTTTGCTCTTGTGTTTACTTTATTTCGCCGAGACTCTCACTTTCTCAGCAGTGTAGTTCGCTCCTCGTGCAGGTAGTCAGACTTGCACATTTATATGTAGACTACCGTGAAACAGCAGTTGACAGTTTGGGGCAGACTGCATAATGCATACTAGACAGTGGCATGCTGGTGCTGAAATTATGTGAAATGCCACTCCGAAGGAAGGACAGAAGAAGATTTATTAAAAACACTACAGCACCTTGATCATCCCTCCTCACTTGTCTACTGTTTAAACAGACACTGTATTGTGCACTCACTGACACATTTTAAATGACAGTAAACTCTCAGTCACATTGTATTGTGTTAAGCATATTCTGTCCAAAGTTATTTCTGCCAGTTTAATGCCATTTAAGTGTTCTATGTATTTCTAAGGGTTTCATACACTTGCAGCTGTGCTGTTGTACTGAATATCCGCACGTCACAACATACTCTGGTCAGGAATGCCATGAAAGCAGAGTGATGTTATACTAAATATCAGAAATGTCTTTTGACCAATTAAATTAGAGCACTGTTGTATGAAATCATGTATTATAAAGTGGGACTTGCATCCACCCTCAATACCACGACTGAGGTGAGACCCTTGAGCAAGGCACCGAGCCCCCAACTGCTCCCCGGGTGCCGCAGCAATATGGCTGCCCACTGCTCCGGGTGTGTGTTCATGGTGTGTGTGCACTTGGATGTAGGGCTGTGCAAAAAAATCGAATGCGATTTTCATGCGCATCTCGTCAGTAAAGCCACTTCTGTGATTAGTAGTTAATCTCCAGCACGTGCTTTCAGATGGAGCGGCATTTACTGCACAGAGCCGTAGTTCACTGACAAGCTACACAAAATCGCGTTCATAATCGGCAATGAATCGCCTGCGATTTTGAATTAATTTTCATGGTATAACAATTTAACTTTGTGTTAAGAATTTGTAATGGGAGGATGTATAGTGCAGTTGTTGTGTCCAGCATTTTGCCAAATTCTTGACCTTTTGCTTAGTCCTGAGTCCTGCATAAACAAAGAGAGTGTAATGTGTGGCACATCCAAAAACTTTGGGCAGGTGCTTGATCATATGAAACCCTTCACAGTCAATAAACAAAAGTCGGCACACTGCCACTACTGCTCTCAAGAATTTATTAAAATCACAATGTTTCGACCCTAAGGTCTTCGTCAGGCAAAACGATGTTTGTACAGTATAAAAACCATTACGCCTATGGAATGTCCCCATTTAGATAGCTAAGTAAACGAGAGAGAGAGAGAGAGAGAGAGAGATCGATCGATCGATCAGGATCAGGATTCAGGAAGACTTGTATGGCTTATTCAGTACTCAAATGTTATACCTATCTATGCAGTACAGTGGAATACAATAAGTTGCAAAATGCAATAAGTTTAGTTTACCACCTTACCCTATTAGTCAATCATTTTTTATTTTATTTATGTTTACTATTATTTTTTATTATTATACCCTCCTTGGGGGCTGAGCCCCCCTAAAACGAAAATCTTAGAATCGCCCCTGGTTTGCCGTCTGTTTGCTTGACCTGGTGTAGTTTGTAATGATGGTAAAATGGTGTGAAGGCACATTTGATGCTTGCCTGTGTTCAGATAACTTTTTTTTGTGTGCACTATGCCTTTCTTTATCTCTTCTCAGACACTTGTCCAGATTTTCTAGCTATAAAGCATTCTAGTTTTTAGTCTTTCAGTATATAAAGACATGACTTTATTCGGAATCTCACTATTTGAAATCTGACTTTTCAATATAGATCTTTATCTTACTTCAGATTCATGTTTAGTAGTGTTATAGCGTTCATAGTGTGGCCTTTTTAGTTAAAGGTACATTTAGTAGTTTGGAGATAATTTAAAAGGTTTTATACATTGAATGAATCATGACATGGATATTTTTATTATTTTTTATTATTTTAAAGGGGTCATATGATGCGATTTCAATTTTTCCTTTCTCTTTGGAGTGTTACAAGCTCTTGGTGCATAAAGAAGATCTGTAAAGTTGCAAACACTAAAGTCTCAAAACCAAAGAGATATTCTTTATAAAAGTTAAGAGTTAAACACACCCGCCTAAAACGGCTCGTTCTAACACGCACATTTCATTACACCAAATACACAAAATAATGTTCTTTTTAGCAGCATCATATGACCCCTTTAAAATGTTCCTTGAGGTTCACTTATAATGCTACTAAAGGTTTTTGTGCAAAAAAGTTTTTAAGGGGCGCTCTTTTAAGGCTTGTCAATAAACAGCCACTGTTATGACTGGCTAATGTCATTGCATAGGAAATAGTATCAACGGCCACTTGCCACCTGCTTCATCTTTCAACAAATGTTTCTTTGCAAACTCTCCACTACACTGTGCCTCGGAAAACAGACAGCTATGTGACTGAAAACCAGTGGGCGGGGCCTGTGGTGCGATGATGTAATGAAGGCAGTCATAAGCAAATGTATTTGCCCATGTGATATCACAAATCCCACAATATTCAAACAAGCTGTTTTTGGAGCTTGGTTAAATAAATGCTTTGTTTATAATGACAATGACTTTTTAAGCTATGAGACAAATTTTATTACTCATGTCATGACCACTTAAAGACATATATTGTGTTTTAGACAATGGAACACACTTACTATCATACTTTACCAGTGGAGACAATGGGAGAATCAGTACAGCTGAAGAAGCAGAAAAGGTCTAAGGCCAGAAGACAGAATGACTGACAAAAACAGTAATGAGAGTAAACATCGCTACAACATATACAAGGTAGAAAGATTTGATGAAAATCCTGAGCAGTGATGCCAAAGTTGCTTCTTTTTTGTTGGACAGGTAAAGCAATTAATTATTGTGTAAAATTCAATATAAATCTCACTAATCTCAGTGTAATTTACATAAAACTCAGAGACGACCATGCTGGTCTGGTAAATTAATGGCAGTGCAGTGTGTAATTGTGGTATCACTACAGTGATGCTAATGCCAGCTAAATAACTACTGAATGCATCTTTAAACTAATATAATTATGACAGTGAACGTTATTGAATGCTTATTTTTGCTTATAAATACACTGTTTGCTTATTATTGTCATAGTTCTGTCTTAGCCTTTTACTAAAATGTATGACGCATCCATCCTACACAAAGGCTCACACCCATAAGACACACGCCATCATATAGTACTTCTAATCCATTAGTGCTCAAGTTTAACAGTCAGATTAACTTTCTGGTACAAAAGCGTTTTGTGTTGCAGGAGGCTCGGAGTAGATCCTATGTCCTGATATTATATCAGAATCACAAAGACAGATGTTTCTGTCACCCTCTGTTCTTTGGCACACACACCCGGACAACTGACCCAGTAGAGAATGAGTGGACAGTAATGCAGTGTCCTGACTCATCGGTATGTATTTAGTGCTCACAAACTCCTTTAAGCCTACCAGAATTTTGCCAAGTAGGACATGGTATTGAATAGAAATCCTTATTGGTCCTAGAACAACATTGCTATCAACCAATTAGTAGAACATCCTGCTTGGCAAAATCACAGTTACCATCTTTTGAGGTCATTTGTCTACTCTGTATTATGATGCAACACAGGTGATTGCTTAAATTTTATAGCATATAATAAAGTTGTTCAAATGGTTCCAGATGTAATAACTGATTCCAGCAGCCAAAGGCAATGCAATAATGCAGCTACTGGGTGTTTATATTAGCAGACCTTTGAGCTTCTGTGTGCCACACCTGGGGATGTAACGACATGTTTCTGTGGTGGAGTGTGACATCTATACACCCTATTTGTGTGCTTACTCTGGGGGAGGTGTGACGGTCCCTACTGTGGCAACCCTTGCTAGAAAAGCTGAGTAAAGACTGCTGCACCCTCAATAAAACTCACACTGCAGGGTGGTAGGAAACAGCTCTCTGTGTCTCATTAAATGTTTCATGTGCTTATTTTAATGAGTGTCTATCGGTTTTCCTCAGCCTGGATCTGTTTGGTAAAAAAAAGTGTTGTACGTTTCTGTGTGTGGCTGTCTGGTGTTATAGTCTTTGCAGACAATAACTAGCACTTACAGCATGCCATTCGAAAGTTTGGATGTTTTAAAATGTTTTTTAAAAAAGTTTTTTTATGCTCATCCAAGCTGAAAAAATACAGAAAAAACACAATGTATAAAATATTATTACAATTTTAAATAACTGTTTTCTATTTTAATATATTTTAAAATGTAAGTTTTGTGTGCAATTTTCAGCTGCCATTACTCCAGTGTTAGTGTCATTTG